CCAGGACTGCAGGGCTCGTTTCGACTCCTCCGATTCGATTCGATTCGGTGTCGATGGCCTCCGACTCTGAGTCGATTCGACGTCGGACTCCCATGTGGATTCGGATTTCTCAATCGATGCCTACTAACCTGCCAACTTCCGCCGATTCGACTTCTCCCGACTCGGCTGCCGAACTCTGCCGATCCGATTCATGTCGAGCATTGATCCGATGTATCGATTCGGTTTGGGGCTCTCCTGGGACTGTCACCGAAACGGCGCGGGATGGTGGTCCTGGGGAATGGGCGAAGACCCTCCCCCCGGGGGAGCCGGAGCTCTGGGCGCTCATGTTGGCTTCGCAGCGGGCCCAGGGCCTTGTGCACAGCTCGATCCGGCTCGGAGGACGCCGCGGAAATATTGAAATATTCAAAGAAAAAGAATAATAGAAGAGGAGGAGGAGCAGGAGGAGGAGGAGGAGGAGGAGCTGGAGGAGGAGGAGGGGGAGGGGGGGAGGAGGAGGAGGAGGAGGATGGGGATGGGGTCCAGAGTTCGCGTCGTGAGTTGGCAGCGCGGATCCCAGTGGCAGGGTCCGGCTCTGTGCAGGTGCTGTGTGGGGCTCGGGACGCTGCGTGCACCCCAGACGGGGCCGCCTAAGAGTGCAAGCGCTGTTTGGGAGTCGGTGCCGTCGTCGTCGCCGTCGTCGTCGTCGTCGTCGTCGTCGTCTTCCGCCTGCTCCCTTTCCTTCTGCCCCCCTCCCACTTGTAGCAGCGGGCAGAGAGTGTGCGGACGACGAGGACTGAGCACTCCCGGCCCTGGGGCCCTCGCCGGGCCCCGGAGCCGTGGGAGAGCCACTCGGGATGGAAGGCCCGTGCTGCTCATAGGGGCCGGATCCTCCTCCTCCTCCTCCTCCTCCTCCTCCTCCTCCTTCTCCTCCTCCTCCTCCTCCTCCTCCTCCTTCTCCTCCTCCTCCTCCTTCTCCTCCTCCTCCTCCTCCGTAGCCATTTTGGCTCAAGCATGCTCCGGTGGCGCTTTAACGCTTCACGACCTTTCTGATACTGCATCATGCCATTTGCCCCCCGTGGGCTCGCTTGCTGCCATGGCTTTGACTCTTGTGCAGTACAACTGTCTCAGCATGCGTCAGCATGGCCGCCTCCAGGATGTATGCGACGTGATGGCTGGCGCCCACATCATCGGCTTGTGCGGGACTCATGACAGGTTCGCTGGTCTCTCCACCGAGTTCGTCGAGGTCACTGGATCCTCTTCTTCCTCCTCGTATGTTGGACTCAAGTTTCCCACTACTCGGGGCAGTTGCACGAACTTATCGGCTGGATGTACGCTGTTGTTCCGGCGCGACTATTTCCCAAAGGATTCTTGGGCTCAGGTGTTGACTCCCCCCAAGCACTTGCAAGGTCGCTGCGGCGGGGTCCATATTCGCAGGCGCAATTTCGACCTTCTCGTACTTGTCGCTATCGCCCCTGTCAACCCTAAGTCCGACCACGGCCGCTACGTCTCGGAGCAGGTGTTCAAATGGTTGGGGAAGCAGCGCACCGTGTGCTCGGCTTCCCGCACTTCGGAGATCTGGCTATTGGACGCCAACGGGCACTTGGGATGGGAGTACGGCCGGGATCTGAACAACGTTCGTGTGCGATGTCCGCTCGTTCATCCTGCGTTTGGCGGCTTCAATCCCGCGGAATGCAATTTCAACGGCCACCAGCTCCTCTCGGCGCTTGGCTCGGAGATGCGTCTGGTGAACACGTTCCGGGAGTGCGGGCCGACGTATTTCGGGCCCGACGGCAGCACCAGCATCGTCGATTTCATCGCTGTGAGCTCTGACGTCTTTCCCAAGTTGGTGAGTACAGATGTGTGGCATGATGCGGGCGATGTCTTACAATTGATTCCTGATGTTGTTGCTCGCGATCACCGTCCTGTCCGCTGCGAAATCGACCTGCGCTTGGCGTTCACAGGCATCCCGAGGTCTTTGCACCATCTTCGACGGTTCTGGCACAAAGAGGCGCTTGTGGGGGGGTGTAAAATAGGTACGCACAAAACGTCTTTCGTCCAGGCGGTGGAAAACACGATTCAGGAGCAGTGGCCCTCGCTCGTTTTGGCTGCGCGGGAGAGTGGCCCTGACGAAGTTGACCAGAAGCTGACCGACATAATCCTGAGCTCGGCTGCCCCACACTACACAGCAGCGACTTGGAAGAAGCCTTATCTCACAGAACCTGAGAAAGCAGCGATCGTTCAGCGCAGGTCTGCCCGTACTGCTGCTCACCGTCCTGTCCTCGCTATCCCCGTTCCTGCAGGTTGTCAGGATGTTATTCAGTGTCTTCGGCTCGTTCAACCTTGGGTCATCACGGCGTCTATCCTGTGCGTGTGTCGCGCCACGTCCAGCCTTGCCGCTATTGTTCGCCTGGGTGCGCTGCGTCGTATTTCCGCGGCGACCCGCAAGACGCTCAAGGAGGGCGCACGTCACCGACGTCGGGTACTGGAGGAAGATTGCCAGGCTGCTTGGGAGCGGAGGGACTTTGCCACTGCTTGGACGTTATCCTTTCGTTTAGCTGGCCAGGGGGAGGGGCCGCGTCGACGTCGTTTTCGCCAGGTTCCACATTTTCGTGCAACAAGCCAGGAGAAAGGGAATCGCCTCCGGCTTCCGGCGCAGGAGGGTGGTCTGAATGCCAACGATGTCGACTACGATGCTGTGCTGTCTGCTCGACGGTCTTCACGGCCCTGGGTCTTCAGCGATTGGATCCCTCTTGCACGTCGGGATCTCCGCGATGTTCGAAAGAAGGTTTCTCGTGCGGCCTATCGCCGCAGCGTGCCGCCATGGGGGATCCCCAATGAACTTCTGCGGATGCTTTTCTCCCCACAGGTATCTACGTCTCGTGGCTCTGGTTTGGGATATCGTGCCGAGACTTCTGAATCAACTTGGATCGAAATGGCGTTTTTACTCTTACTCGCCCTGGTCCGGTTTCGTCGACAAGCTCCACTTCGCTGGCATTCGTCTTGGTTAATCGAGATACCAAAAAAAGATGGGGCCACTGGCTGGGACGCGGTACGGGATCTTCATCTTTTTTGCGCTCTGCCTGGTGCTTACATGGCGATGTTGTGGGCCCGTGGCTCTCATTTTTTGGATAGAGACTATGCTACTGGCTATTCCCGCTGCCGTCGAAGGGAGGAGTCCATTGCCGTATCCACGTGTCTTGCCTTTCGCTTGCAATCCATGGGCCGTGGCACGTCCGAGCTGTTCTTTGACATGCGCAACGCTTTCTGTTGCCCTCACACGTCCGAGCTTGAATCGCACATTCAGGGAGCCTTCGTTTCTTGCCCGTTCGAGCGCGAGATTTTCCTCAACGAGCTGGAGTGCGCTTTGGTCCGCGCTGACACCGCCGACGGAACGCAGACGTGGTACTTGATTGGCTCTGGTGTTCGGATGGGGCACCGCGCTGGGCCGAAGTGGTTCCTCGGCGTCTTCCATCCCAAGATCGACCTGTACGTGAACAGCCTCGCCGAGCTCCGCATTATTTCGTCGCTGGAGCTTTGTGGCGTTGCGCGCCAGGCGGAGGTCGGGACCTCGACTTTTGCCGACGATACCAAGACTACGCTGGTGGCCGACTCGTTCCCTACAGCTCTGTTTCGGTGCCGTCTTGCTTCCGAGCGACTGGACCAGGCTCTCTTGAACTCTACCGGCGTCCCCTCGATCGTGCAGCACAGGGGCAAGTGCGAGGTCGTCGTCAACTTTGTTGGCACCGGTTCTCAGGGCGCTCTTCGTCGAGTTTATTATGGTCCTTGTGGTTTTCCTGGACGGGTCGTTTCTGCTGCTAGGCATTTGGGTGGTTGGCGAAACATGCGGTGCAGCTTCAGTACCCTACGTGCGAAGAACATCGAGGCTGCCCGGCGCAACTTTGGCCGGTTTAAGCGATTCTGGGCGCATTCTACCCGTGAGTTTACTGTCCTTGCCTTCCGGGGCATGGTGATCGGTGCTACTACTTCTGGTGCTGCCGCTCATGTCCCTTCTCGCACTGACCTTCGCATGATCGATGACGCTTGGAGCGACATGGGCCGTCGTGTCTTGATGGCGCGTCTCCAGCAGCGTTCCCAAGGCCATCCCGTTGCGCCTTCCACCAAGGACGTTCGCTGGGCCCTCAAGTTCTCCGAGGCCGAGGTCGAGCTTAGGATTGAGCGCGTACGGTGGTACCAGGTCATGTGTTCCACCCCTGGCAGGTTTGTGCAATGGATCTTGACAGTATTCGGGGAGATTGACGGCCGGCGCGCGCTTGACCCCCAGGGCACTCTGCTTCCGGACGCGAACCCATGGGCCAGACAGGTTTCGGAGGACTTTGATGCATTATCTTGTCATCCAGATTATGAGGATGTCGCTGCACTTTGTTGTCGTTATCCTGCCCACGTGTTTTTCGACGAGGATGTTGCCGCACGGGTTCAAGGCATTGATCCTCGCGTTCTTCGTGCACGCACTCGCACCGTGGCCATTCCGCCGCCAGGGTACCTGGCACCTGCCCCTCGTCAGGATCGTGCCGCTGATCGCGTGGAGGCACCGTCTTTCGTTTGCAACCTGCCCGGTCTCGAGACGGAGCGCTGCGGCCGCAGTTTTCTGTCGCTCGGGGCACTCCGTGCGCATCAAAATCAAAGTCGTCTTCCGGGTCATGGCGATATTGGTCTGGGCGCAAGGGCCACTGTTACAAACCAGTGTTGCGTGTGCATGTCAATTTTTTCTACCCGGCCGAACGCCCGCGAGCATCTGGAGGCATCTATTCGCCGAGGGTTCTGCTCTGGGTCTGGGAGTGTCTTTCGCCACGATGTGGAAATTCCGGGCTACCTTGGGTGCCCCATCTGTGACGCAGAGGTTTTCACGACGCTACCATTACTTCAACGCCATATCCGTGTAGTCCATCTTGGCTCAGTGAGAGCTTCTCGCACGACTGTATCTTCCACGCTTATCCCGGCTCTTGAAGCCCTGTGTGCCCGAATCGCCGCTCGCGAGCGGCTGCGCTCTGCTCCTGCCCCAGCACGCGCACGTCCCGATGAGCGAGGCCTACAAGAACTTCCTGCCGAAGCCGAAGGAGAAGGAGGGGAGCGCCGCGAAGTCTGCGAGGACCGAGACCGAGGAGCCCGACGCGGCCTCGAAGAGGGACGAGCTGATTCTCTTGGCGTCCGTGGCGGCGGAGTCGCGGAACCACGCAGCGGCGCTCTACCGGACGTGCCTGGTGCCGGGGGAGGTGGGCGAGGCGTTCTACGACGGGATGCGCGGGGCGGTGGGCGAGTACGAGAAGAAGGCCCGGGGCCAACGGGGCCACGGGCACGGAGTGCCTTGCCACCACGCGCTGATTGCCGCAGCGCTCATCGGGCAGACGCACTTTTCCGCGGAGGAGATGGGGGCGAAACCGCCCGAGTACCAGAAGATCGAAGAATTCCTGACGAAGTACGACGTGCCCAAGAAGCTGGGGAGGGAGGTGCTGGAGTTCAGGGCCTACGAGACGCGCGACAAGGGCCACCGTTTCCGGTTCCGCCTCGTGGAGGGGGGGGATCCCTTGGTCAAGGCAGTGGTGGAGATCATCGTTCGCGTGTGGATGCAGGCCGGGGGCGAGGAGGTGTTGGGGTCAGCGCCAGCGTCGAAGCGGGAGCGGAAGCTGCAGGCCCGCATTAAGCGGATGAAGGAGTGACCCGGCGGCGCATTGCTTTCCCCCTTGCCTCCTCCTCCTCCTCCTCCTCCTCCTCCTCCTCTCCTTCCTCTGGGCTGGAAAAAACACAGGATCTTGTCGTAACGGCGGCCGCCTGCTGACGAATGCCCCGCCAGAATTTAGTTCCCGTGCTCGGCGGGCATTTGAAATGCGGCCGAAGTGTCGCAACGCACACTTGGTGATCGCATGCTGGCGCAATTCTATGCTCGCCAGTTGTACGCCCTTGTCGACGAATGCAGCGAGCGTGCTCACGGTGCGGCGCTGTCCTGCCCCTGCTTCACTCCGCCCCCTTCTTCCATTGACGCGCGATGTCTTGTGAGGGCGGCCAGCTGGGGCAGATTCAGCACTGCCGCGACCCAGGCCCAGCGGAGACGCCACGTCGGTGCGCCCCGCTGCTGGTGTGGGGCTTTGACCTGTCTACATAACGGGTCGCGTCGCTCACGTTGGCAAGCTTTGATTGGCGATACTTTATCGCGGCACTGCATATTCCTCTACATATCGATCGGCTTGCTGACTTCGAGTGTGTCGGACCGGACCGGACCTCCTCCTCCTCCTCCTCCTCCTCCTCCTCCTCCTCTCCTCCTCCTCCTCCTCCTCCTCCTCCTCCGCCTCCTCTCCCTCCTCCTCGCTCCTCCTCCTCCTCCTCCTCCCCCTCCTCCTCCTCCTCCTCCTCTCCTCCTCCCCTCCTCCTCCTCCCCTCCCCCTCCCCCTCCTCCTCCTCCCCTCCTCCTCCTCCTCCTCCTCCTCCTCCCCCTCCTCCTCCTCCTCCTCACTTTCCTCCTCCTCCTCCTCCTCCTCCTCCTCCTCCTCCTCCTCCTCCTCCTCCTCCTCCTCCTCCCCAAATCATCCTCGTCCTCCGCGGGTCCAGGCGCTTTGCCAGTGGGCCGTGAGCTCAGGGTGCCGCCTCTTTTTCGCGCAGGGCGTCTTCGCCCCGTCGGGCCTTGGAACCCTCATTTACCAGCCCGGAACATATCCCTATCCCTATGCTGGGCATCTCCTCATCACGATGCCAATCTTAGGGATTCCCTTATTTGTTGAGGGCGCATCCCTAAGATTGGCGTCGCTTTTTGGCGTGTCAATCTTAGGGATAGGGATAAGTTCGAGGCTGTTAACTCATCGCAGATCGATCCGGCTCGAAACATGCAGCGATGGGGTCCAGGGCTGCGGTCGTGGTTTTTCACGATGCTGCATTTTTCGCAGCGTCGGATCTCTTTTGCTCCTCCTGCTCCTCCTCCTGCTCCTTCTCCCCCCTCTTTTTCCCTACCTCCACCGTCCCGGTTTAAAGGTTGGCCCAAGGAGGCTCCCTTGGTCAAGCGTTCGAGTCGCCGTAACGGAAGCCGAGCCCGTTCCGAAGCCGCGCGATGTGTCCCACTCCCACTCCTCCTTCCCTTCCTCTTCCCCCGTCGTTCCTCCTGCTCCGAGCTAGAGAATCGCTATCTCATCTAGCTGCATGCGGCAAGTCCGGTCATCGTGCCATCACAGCATTATGACCTGGCGACTGCTCGAGGGGGGCACTGGAGGCCGTCAAGTGTGGCACCTCGTGTCCCTTGGCGTCGGAGAGACGTGATGAGGACAAGGATGCAGATGGGGACACTGATTATGAGACTAACAAGGGCGATGATGTTGATGATGATGGTGATGGTGATGATGCCGGTGATGATGAAGATGATGTTGATGAAGATGGTGATGACGATGCTCATGATCCTGGTGATGGTGGTCATGTTGGTGATCGTGACGATGATGACAATGATGGGGATGGTGGTGGCGATGATGAGAAAGACGTGGATGGTGATAGTGATGGTGGTTGTGATGATGTTGTTGATGCTGGTGCTGCTTGACATGGTGGCGATGATGCTGATTATGATGATGATGACGTCGATGCTGACAATGATTATGAGTTTGATGACGGATGACGGCGATGCCGATGACGATATTGAGGAGGAGGAGAAGGAGGACGAAGGGGATGATGATGATACTGTTGATGATGCTGATGACGATGATGATGATTATGATGATGATGTTGCTGATGATGGTACTGATGCTTATGATGATGATGATGATGATGATGATGCTGATGCTGACGATGATTATGATGATGATGCTGATTATGATGATGCCACTGATGATGTTGATGATGATACTGCTGTTGATGATTATGCTGGTGATGATGATGATGCTGATGATGATGCTGCTGATGATGATCATCATCATGGTGATGATGTTGCTGATGATGATGACGATGATGATGATGATGATGAAGAAAATGGTGATGATGATGATGCTGATGCTGATGATGATGATGATGATGATTATGGTGATGATGATGGTAGTGGTGGTGGTGGTGGTGGTGGTGGTGGTGGTGGTGGTGGTGGCAGTGATGATGACGATGATGATGCGGAGGAGAATGGTGCTGCTTGTAGTGATGATGGTGACGATCACGATGGCAATATTGGTACTGATAATGATGATGAGGAGGAGATGGATCAGGTGAAGGAGGAGGTGGATGAGGAGGGGCAGACGCATGATGACAACAATGAGGATACCGTCACATGTGACACCTATCGTCTTCACTTCTCGAGGAGCTCTCAAGGCCCTCACTTGGGCTGCCTCGGGGCTGTCTTGGGCTCCTGCGGGGCACTCTTGGGGGCGCCTCCTTGGGGGTCGTCCTGAGCCGTCAAGGGCTCCTCAAAATCGTTGCCTTCTTCAGGCCCTCCGAGCGATCCTTTTGGAGCCTTCTTGCGCGACCTTTAAGCCCCCTTGGGCCGTCTCGAGGCCATTTTGGGGCAGTCCGGTGGCCAGGTGCGGCCGTCTTAGCGCCATCTCGAATCGTCTCGGAGGCGTCTTGGCCTCGGGGGCTCGCATCCGTCGACCTGTTCTGTTGTTCGCTGTCGCCTCGGGAGCGCGCGGCCGCCGTATTCTGTGAGGAGTTCTCGCCTCGGGTGCGCGAACCTTCGATCCTCGAGGTCAGGGCGGCTCCTCTCCGCCTCCTTCTCCGCCTCCTCCTCCTCCTCTTCCTCCCTCTCCTCCTCCATCTCCCTCTCCTCCTCCCTCTCCTCCCCCCCTCCTCCTCCTCCTCCTCCTCCTCCTCCTCCTCCTCCTCCTCCTCCTCCTCCTCCTCCTCCTCCTCCCCCTCCTCCTCCTCCTCCTCCTCCTCCTCCTCCTCTCCTCCTCCTCCTCCTCCTCCTCCTCCTCCTCCTCCTCCTCTCCTCTCTCCTCCTCCTCCTCCTCCTCCTCCTCCTCCTCCTCCTCCTCCCCCCCCTCTGCTGTGTTTTGCCAGGGGCTGCGGCCTCGAGAGAGGGGGCGGTGCATGCGGTGCAGCGTGGCGGGTGAGGGGGGGGGGGCTAGAGAATTAAGTCGGGCATGTCCCTCTATGGGATGCATCTAGGAAAACTGTGTCAAATAATGAACTGGGCAGGGTTGTTCTGCGATTTTTGATTGTTCGAACATGTTGTTGCTATCTCTCATCGTTCGTCCGGAATCCGCCCGTAGGGTCAGACATGCCCGACCCGAGGCTAGAAGATCACACGAACCCCACGAGGCAGCATTTGGCGTGCTGGCATGCCTCAGCGTGCCAGGGGCCGCGGCGGCGGCTGCGGCGAGGCTGGGGGAAGGAAGGTTATAATCAGGAGGGGAAAACACACATACCACAATGAATCGTCGACTCCCAGGAAGATTTGGAAAAAAATATGGGAAGGGGGGGAAGGGTCAAACCCAGAAAATATTGGGAAATATATGGGGGCTCTTGTGATTCTTGTCTATTTATTTGTGTCCCAGGGCCCCTTTCATAGAAGTCATAGCAGGGAACGGCAGTTCCCGGGCAGCCCCCCGGGCACCGCCGCAGCCCGCGGGGAGGTCGTCAAGAAGGCCGCGCGCGTGATGCTGCAGCGCATGTCGGGCGCCGAGCCCCGCTTCGGCCTCGTTGAACCGATCCCCATCCCCAGACCTTAGTGGGCCCTGGAAACGACAGGGCCGTTTTTTTACCGGTTCCGTTTTGCCGTTTTTTTGCCAGTTCCGACGCTGTTTTTTTACCGGTTCCGTCCCTGTTTTTCGACCGGTTCCGGCTCCGGTTCCAATTTTGGAGCAGTTTTTGTTACCGTATCCGGTCGCCGTTTTTGTTGCCGTTTCCATTTTCAAGGGGCAGTTTTCTGGTAACGGTGAAAAAACGGCCCTGCCGTTTCTGGGGTCCACAAAGCCCCAGACCCCCTCGCGTTGTGAAAAAATAGCGACGGGAGGTTTTTTGTTATTTTCGGCCTCCCGGGGCCCTTCCTGGGCCTCGGGACCCTCAAACTAATGTCTCAGGATGAGAAGCCAGTCCCGGGGAAGGGGTGCAGACCTTTGGGGGTCGGCGTTGTGACAGAAATCACGACGTCGGAGGTCTGGGTCCTCATCTCATTCGAGACCCCCACCAGATTACCCCCCAGTTGGAGATGCACCCCTCGAAGCCCGAAGGATACGGTTCATATATCCCCATCCAGGGGGGCAAATCGGCCAGTGGGGCCCAGGCCACGCCGCCGGGGATGGGGATGGGTTCAACGATATTCACTGCTCTCGCGCGCGCCCCCTGCCCCTCCATGCCCCCCACTTTGGATACTCGTTCTGGGGACCTTCTTCCTGGGGACCGCCTAGCGGATCCGTTGGACTCTAGTTCGACTTCAGTTCGATTCTAGTTCGACCCTAGTCCGGCTCAAGCTCGACTCAAGGTTGATTTAAACTCGACTCAAGCTCGACTCAAGTTCGACTCAAGTCCGCGATGTTCGACGTAGCATCAACGCATGAGTTGAGCGAGTGGCTTCAGGAAGGCCCCCAGAAGGAGCATCTCACCCACCCACCAACCCCATCCCGGCCCCCTTCCCCTCGCTTCCCTCCTTCCCTCCTCCCTCCTCCTTTTCCGCCTACTTCCCTCTCTTGCCGCCTCTTTTCCTTCGCCCTCCAGCTTCACCTCTCCTTTCACTCCTCAAGCAGTGGCGAAGCATCCTGATCCGGTTATAGGCCCACCAAGGAATGCTCCAAGAACCTTTCGTGGTTCGCACGGCATGTTCTCAGGACATGTCTGGCCGAGACAGTCGGTGCCATGTAATGAGAACACAGCCTTTGTTATATATTTTTGTTGAAGACCATGTTGCCGGTGGGCCTACAAGAATACTAGGACGGTCCCTGCTCAACACTCCACCCTTTCTCTCCCCATCACCCTGACACCACCCCTCCTTCCCTTCATCTGGGCGTGGCTAGGACAAGGATAAATCCGATCCAAAGCGTTCCGAAACGCTCTCAGAGCGTTCTGGGACGTTTTGACAAGGCCGCGGCGCCCGAGACACTTTCCCGAGTCGCCGGATCTCAGAGATTCTCGATGTATCCTCGTCCGAAGTGTCTTCGTCCTGTTGATATGTTCTCAGGAGGGGAACACACACAGGCGCAAATAGACGCTGACCCTCAGGAGAGTAGATGGGAAGATATGGGAGTGGAGGGGCAGACGAACATCCAGAAGACATGAAACATGTGGGGCATCAAGGGGTCTGCGTCTGCTTTTTGCTGCCGCCACCT